CCAATCGATGGATGTATCTGTAATGGCAGAAATAGTCTAATAACATCCTATGATCCTGACGTTGTGACTAGAATCTAGTGTTGTTACAACAGATGATAATTTAAAATGCCTCGGTTGTTTACTCCTAACTTTACCATCAAGCTTTGCAATTATTGCCACTACAAATCTATCGTAGGCTTTTTTTAAATCTAAACGTATAATTTACTTCGTCTATTCCAGAACACTTATAAGTACCTTTATGTAAGCAAACTAAATTAACGTTTCCGATACATTATCTTACAGAATACATTTTTCATTGAAAGTTATTTTACAATTAAATATAATATGCCCCTTAAATATATTCCTTATCTTTTTTGAATTCGTATTTAATTTTTTTTTTATTTCAATCCCAAAGAAGGCTACTACGAGTACTAACTCCAATATCGCTTACGTTGACTCCACGACGGTTACTTTTTTTTGTCACTATTAGATAAATCTCTTTTACTAAAATATATAAAAAAAAACATATTATGTAGTATTCTATAACTTCTATTCGCATGTTTCACGATATTTCAAATTAACCAGTTTTAAAGGGCGTCAAAGGGTAAACAAATGGCGGGAAAACAAATTAATCTCTTAAAGCGTACAGCAAATACACAAACCTAAAATTGGAATACATTTTGGATTTGAAATTCCTAAACAAACGATAGATCATTTGACGTACCTACGTTCACCAAAAATTCAATTTTACAAAAAATACATTATAATAATACAGATGAGAGAAAATATAACGGTTTTTTTTACCGTATAATAGAATAAAGTTAATTGTATAATAAAAATGTGCCATCGGCAGTCATAATTATTTCAGACATCTTTTAAGGCATTGAAGTATTCTGAGCAGTCCTGGCATCGTTGAATGGATGAATTTATTCAGAATTTATCATATTATACGCATTGCAGTGAACGTGGCACGTTTATAGTGATTTGTTTGCTTTAAAAGACATAATTGTCATATTCTGGAGCGGATGTGAAAAAAAAAATGTAACTTCATACAATATTCAACATGCGCCATATGATTTTGTACGAAATGAAACTGCATTATATCATATAACTCATTAAATTTTGCTTTATAAGTTATATAAATATATTTTTTATCGTTAATCTTATGTTAACTGGAAAGGTATATCCAATTACAATTTTCCAATTTAAAAATAAACTAGTAGAAATAGTGATGACTCTATATAATAAAATTATAAACACGAAGGTTTTCTAACATTATAATAGACAAAATAAAAAATAACATTAACCCACATTTAACTTATTGAATAAACAAATCTAAACCAAAATCTTATTTATGACAAAAAACAAATTAAATTAACTGTCATTCAAAGCGTTCATTTACATATTTAATTAAAACCATATAAATATAAGAGACAATTAGCATTTAGAAGCGATGAACCATTAATTATTTGGTTTGAGCGTCAACCGTGCAATAAACGGACGGCCTTATATTCCTTATATTCAGAGGACAAAGTGAACGCGTGATCGGAATAAGTTAGCGACATCCAGCCATCTCCTCTACATAAAGATTTATACCCATCTGTAACTGAGGAGTCTACGCGACAGTTTTTCCCAATTACAAGATCTAAGCTCCCCATTCATTAACATCTCGTCAAAGAAATCACGGTCGTATCTTTTCCCCGTCTAAAAATCAACGTTTTGCAAATTCAACAAGTTTCTTGCTTAGTGTTTCACAATCGTTGGTTTATGCTGACCAGGTGTTAATTAATTACTATGCTGTAAAAATTTAATTTAAGAAACCCAGTATTCATTTGTTTTAATATAATTAAATTCTTGTAAAAGATGATGAAAAGTAAAGTTAAATATTTCTTATTAAAATATGAAGCTACAAATTTTTAAGAATAAATATAACTTAATAAATGTAATAATATTTTATGTTTCATATTACATAAGGAATAAATATAAATAGTTATAATATAGCTTAAAATTGCTATATATTTTTATTTTGATCTATATTAAATACAAAAGAAGAAATCCCTACAAACTAAGGTGCACTAAAATGTTTTTAAGTGCAGCATTATCGTGTAGTGAGCGGTATAATTGCGCCCATCCGATGTTACAACAAATATTGTTCAACCGAATACGGTTTTCAAGAGCAATCTAGGACATAATAACTTGAGTATATTTCAAGCATAAAATCAATAACGCCATACACATATAAAAAAAACCTAAAATTCATATACAATTCGATATTTTATTAAAGCCAAGACATAAACAGGAAACTGCAACTAACTGTAAATCTGTTAAAAAGTTTATACATAAACTTGAGAAATTTGCTAAGCTGGAGGGAAATTTTCTTAAAAGAATTCAGTGTCAAAAAATGTCCGTCCCAGATGGTAAACAGAAACAGTTGTATGTAAGGTGCGAGGCGTAGCTCGGAAACTTAGCCGTCACCAACCGCTTTAACTTTCCTACAAACTTCTAGAGCCGAATATATTTTGTCTTGTTTTATATTTGCCAAAACCCGCCCCTGATATACGTAAAACGAACTAATTTGCCGCTTTTGATTTATAGAAATAGGATGCCAAAAAAAAATTAAAGCGAGAATACTTTTACTTCAGATATAGAATGACGATATTTTAATTTCATATCAATAGAAAGAAAACCTTTTTATCTCGTAATATTGATATTTAAGTCATATTAGTCGTAAATTAAATTTTTTTTTTATTTATTTGCATCAGAAACTACCATCTATATATCCTCCAATAAATTCTTTTGCATTTTTATTATAAAGATTATATCAGTAAAACTCAATTTTCTGCCCGTACGACTATTATAAGAGCCACTTTATTTTTAACTCTTTCCTTTCATATGACATTTATTGTGTATATTTTTTCTGCAGACGACTTTCAAATGTCTTTGTAGCATTTAGAAGCACTTAATGCAATTTGGCAACATTTCCTAGATCCGTTTAAAGTACCACGTATAAGCAATTTTCGTGATATTAACTTACTGTTGTACAGAAATCCAATTGACTTATAAAAGCAAAACAACAGACATTTAAACAAATCCTTAATGCTATTGAGAAATAATGACTTAATATTTAATATTATAAATTATTAACTGAAAAAATATTTGTCAATTCTTATATTAAAATATTTTCAAAGTTTTGTAGCTAACTTCCATGTTAAATGTAGATAGTATATACTTATTAAATGGAATATTTGTTTCTTGTATTTTTACACCAGAAAGTCTTAATACGTCCTAAAGGACCGTGTATGTATGTGTCCATGTGTCCATGTGTCAATGACATAAATAAAGAAAATCAAAATAACAGACATTTTGTCGCAAAAGAGGAAAACCATAGTATATAAAATAATCAAAACTAGGCATACAGTTTTAAACTTTAAAGAAGGTACACTAGTACTAGTATTAGAGTAATTGCATATTACAAATCTGAAACGAGAAGTACCTAAATATAGAAATAATTTTAACCCCGAACACGGAAAGACATGATGTTTATAATAACATAATCTACTGTTTGCTCTCCCTTTAAATACCTTCGCCTCCCACGGCTAATTCTCTTTAATGTTGTTTTTTTATCTTTTCAGTTCGCTTATTTCGCAGACAGAATCCCTATTTATAATTATTTTTCCTTATTTATATTACTGTATGATAAATTAATCAATGTATACGTATAAAACGGAATATAAATGCTGTAATAAACCTTATGCCTCTGAGGAAATCTTCCGGAATCATCTTGAATGACCTCTCATCGACTTTAGACATTATTATACTTTTACTGAGTAACATTTATTTTATGCCCACCATTGGTTACATCACTAAGGATACCAATTAGACTTAGTATAATATAAAGTAAAACCACACTTGCATTAGAATGATCTAAGAAGTGTTCGATTTATTTAATTTCAATATTTTAGACCACATCATAAAAATATTTCTCTATGCTTTGGAAATGGACATGAAGAAAAAAAAAACAAATTATATGTAAAGACGAAATTCTTGGATAATTCCGAACAGTACTTTTCTAAAAGCATTATCTAATTTTCAGCTTCAGAAAATAAACTGAAATAAAACATACCTTTACTATATTCAATAAATATATTATACCAAACTCCCTTTAAAAAGTTTTAACTTAATAGGGTTTTGGCAAGCAGATAAAACTTTCAATTAAAATAAAAGCGTGCGTTCCATAACGTATTAAATTCTTATCGACATTTAAAATTGAATGAACGGAGAAATAGTGATGACTTTACAATCTATTGAGTATGGAACTCTTAATTTACGCCTATTGAATGTTTGATTAAATGAAAATTGCTCCATTACTTTGGTACCAATAAAACAAATCGAATTAAAACGATTTTATTCAAAAAATTCAGTATTATCATATATAGCCAATGCTACTTTACTTATAAAATTGTGTATAGTACTTATTGAGACAGTTTTTTTAGTCCCAGTGTTTATATAAATAATATTCAAATATTAATTGCTTTACATACAAAATAACGTTATTCACTAAGCAAAAACGCTGTAATAAAACAAAAATAACACATTCAAAAGTGTTAAAAACTAAACTATTTTATTTCAACTAAAAAAAATTATCGCATAACATATCTGTGAGAGATTTTACTGACTTGATAAATAAAGCTTTCAGGTACGCTTTTCATATGGAACAACTGAGTACAAAGAATATTCTATTCAACATTTGACTCACGTAATTTTGTGTTGAGATAAAAAACTGAAATTCATGTTACGTAACAGTTTAGTTAAATTCAAATATTTTTAAATCATCCACCATACGTGTAATAGAAACATTTTATATGGAACGCAAAACAGACACAAACGAATATAATTAGAGCAATACGAGATAACTAATATTAATTTTAAACTCGTTACAATGTAAAAACGGAACGTCAGAGTCTGTAGTTGTAGCCTTAATATCCGCTGTTTCAGTCTCGTAACCAGCTAACAATATTGCATTGCGTACAACACGCGCTAGTTTGTACTTATCGCGAAAGTTTCAGCCGTCGGGCGGAGGGGTTGGGGGTGGCGACGGGGTTGCAGTATCGATCGCGTCTGCTGCATGCAACGCTGTCTTCCGCAGATCAGTCCTTATCGTCTGCCGGAACGAGCCTCAGCCGGAGTCGAGTACTAAAAAGCCTTTACGAGACATTCCATATAGGAACGGCACACGCACGCCGAAACCAGACGTCAGTATTGAGGCGTGCGCTCACGCTTCGTAGCGCTAAGCTTGTTTGTAGAAAATCGTTTGCTATCTCGACTTTTATGTACAACTGAATCCATTCAACCGATCCTTATATTTAGCTCGCTCTTTAAAACATTAAACACATTATAATTCTCGAGTTCGCTAATGATATTTAAGAACGTCTCGGCTTCGAGGTACAAGGAACAACACTAACTATGAAATTTATAACGATAACTCGAGTCGAAAGTTGCCAGCTTTGAAAATATTGTAAGCTGTACTCGTTTCGGGCAAATTAAATGAAAAACGAAGTTTTACCGCCGGCCGACAAAGTTGGCTAGTCAAGTTTTAGCCGGTGGATAGCCGTGCATACAGACTGTCCCTTGTGTGCTTAGTCACATGATGTATTATTACCACGTACGCGGCACCGCGTATGTACTTCGTCGTTAATGTTCGTATAAAGTAATATTTTATAAGAAGACTTGAGCTTAAGAGAGGTTTAAAATCATAATGAAATAAATTTAATATGAAGCTGGTTCATATGAGATTTATATTTGTTTGTTTTTGATACAAACAGTAGTACAGTAAACATTATTAGCCTTTGAACTCTTTGATATTATATCTGAATGAATTCAATACAGTAAATATAATATTGAAGGCAAACAAAATAATTTAATATAATAAAAAATATAATAGAATTTATAACAAGCCTTTGTCAGGTTAATGTACCCACTGTAGTAAAAATATGTATATTCATGTTTAATGACTAAAAACGATAAGTAGATGATAAGAATAGATTGACATAAAATCGGTTTTATTTTATTAATAATATACTTATATGTTATACGCAATTAATGAAGCGGTATCGTTACCATTATGCGTTTCTTCACAACCTCCAAAGGTCACGATAAAGGTCTTAAATCTCTAATATGCAGCTATACAGTATGTTAACTAACAATTCAAGTTCCCATTAATCCGCAATAATGTAGCATCCATACATGCTAAAAAAAATATTACCAATCGAAAACAAAATGTTTTTTATTTTTTTTTATTTTAAAAAAAATCATTAAAAATATTAAATTTACATGTAAAAGAAACATCCTGTACACGCATATTTGAAGAACGGCAACGTCGCAACTTACTTATAAAAGACGGGCCGCGTATGCGGCATTCGATTGATCTACGATTTTAAAGTGTCACCCGACCCCCGCCCCCGAACGTCCGCGAAATTTTATTTTTTAGTATTTACTATTTAGTAATCCCACGCCGCTGACCGGGATCGCACGTCTATTATTTCCGCATTACTACGTCTACGTATTTTCGTGTGAAAGATGCCGCGTTATCAGTTCAGTGCGCAGGAGTATGTGAATATGGTGCTCATTTATGCTGAGTGTGACTATGATGGTGCACGTGCTCTGAGGATGTATGCTGAGAGGTACCCTAATGCACACCAACCGCGGAATTCTCGTGTAATTGTGAGTGCCCTGGTGCGTATGCGTAATAATGAGCCGGTAGTGCCGCGTCGTTCAGGTGGCCCGCGACCCGTGATTTCAGTGCGACAGGAAGAGAATGTGCTAAGGCATTTTGAGGAGGAGCCCGGTTCAAGCACCAGAAGAGCCGGCCGCCTGTTCAATATGAGTCACGTCGTAGTGTTTAAAATATTAAAGAAAAAACAAGCAGCATCCGTACTCACTTCAAAAAGTGCACGAAAATAACCGTCGGCGATTACAACAATGTGTAGACAGAGGAGGTCAGCATATCGAGCAGTTCAAAATCTAGGTAAGTTTTAACATTATTTAAATGTATCATAATACCTTAAACATTTCGAGAACATAAAAAAAAAAATAACACTAAACGAGTGTGCCACAAAATTAATAAGTTCAGAACTCTTTCCTAAAACTGCTTAATACCTCCATGTGAACTGTAAATAAATTGTGTAATACCACCATGATCATTTAAATGCGAGCCTAAACTGTGGTTTAAATAAACTTTCATCCAACTTAATATGTAAAGCAAATTCATGTACCCAGCGAGTAGACCTTCTGTATTAACTAGTATTTGAGTCGTATAGAATCAAAGGCGGCAATCTGCACATTTTATCAAAATAAAGATTTTTATATGGAAATTTAAAATAACGTTACGTACTTAATTTACTTTATAACAAAAACGACTATCTCGGAGTGAAATCCCTTTTGAAAATCAGGTTTAGCATCAAATTCGGCAATCTTCAACAGCATAAGAATCAAACCCGGCATTCTAACTCATTCCACCAATCACAAGCGTCCGTGTGGTCACGTGATCTAATGACGTCTGTATGAAGTTTCTAACGAATTTGTGTCCGTGTTTTTATTGAATTATTTTATTTATTGTGATTACTGTTATAAAATAAATGTATAAATTGAATCATGGATGTACATTCTAAAGCCTGTAAATTTCTTCAAATTGTTATTTTTATAGTACACAATGAGAGTTTAATATTAAGCGCATCAATACTTACATCACTTAAAATAAAGTTACGTAATATCATTTTTGAAACGGACGACACAAACCGAAAATTTTCAATTCTCTGATTTCAGTCTAAGTGTAGATTGCCGCCTTTGATCCTATACGACTCATTTGTTTATTTTGTAACAACGAACGGGCGGCGACATGACGGCGACGTGTCGGCAGAACTCAAAGGCGCTACCGCCCCACCGCCCCGCGTTCATTACTCGGCCGTTGCGTGCAAATTCTGTCTAATTCTCTGTATTATTATTGTAATGTTATTGAAACGTGGCTTAGATATGATGGTTGAATTTGTTCTTTTTTATTTACTGTTTGCGAATAGGTACCTCAGTGACACGTTCCTTAGTCAGCGATACATTTGAGACGGGTTAAGTGTTATTTCTAAAACTAAACATACATTTAAAATGTTTATTTTTACTGTTAACAATCCGACTACGTGTCTTTATAATTCAATATGCCGCCACTACAAAAGGCGCCGCTCGGCATCGTGCGTATTGCGACGTTGCCACTTTCGGCAATGCTACTACGCTAGATACATACGTTCTATTCCGCGCCACATACATATAGGAGGTTTCGAAATTATTGTGAATAAATTATTATTTTTTTAGATTATTTTGTGCTTATTTTTCTATGCTGATATATTAATTTTAATCTATTAGTGATATATATTAACGTGTTCAAGGGAACGCCATTTGCTGTATTACATACTGTATAAACTCCACGATTCCTAAGAAAAAGACTTATTAAAAAATGTTAAGCCATATCAAAGATTTCCCTGGACAAACAGAAATACAAGAAGTAAAAGAAATGCTGAAAGAGATCACGACAAAAATAAAAAGATTGTCAACGTCTTGGTTGATTGTGTCTATAAAAAAAGGTACATATTTTAAAATATCAATATTCCCTATTGGAAATCTTGCTATGTTCTGAAAATTATGAGTTATTTTATATGAATACTTGGAGTAACGCTCTCAAAATACATATAAAGCGTGTATATAAAAGTAAAGTAACTCACCCACTCGATAGCAAGTCATTAATCAAGAAATCTCGAAAAATATTTGATCTATGAACATAACATTTTGGCAAGGTATTTTATGGATAGAACATGTCAGCTAAGAATTTTACGAGATTCATCCTTTGAAGTTAAAAAGGAAAGTTTGTATGGAAGTTAATTTTAAATTCATTTCAATAAAACCATATATTTTTCACTGAATTAACTCCAATATCATGACTTTTATTCAATTGTGCCCTACTTATAAATGTCTAAAATATCATTAATTTTAAGTTAAAATAAATTTCGGAATTTAGTCTCTATAACTAAACTAATTTATAATACAAGTCTTTTGAGATTATAGGAAATTACAACTGTAAAGGAGTGAAAGTTTGATATAAAAGCATAACTTAAATGTTATCCAATTTGTACTAAACTTAAAAGACACGGAAACCGTAAATGATTAAACTTTCAGTTCCCCCTTTTTAATCGCAGACTATGGGTTTTATTTAAAAAAAACTCAATAAATATATCATATTAATGTTCGTAATACGACAATTTCTGTCTGGTACATTCTGGTACATTCCTGGTACATTCATACAAATATCTAAGTATTAGAATACATAATGGTCCATATAAATGAAACGAAATTGAAATATCTGTTTGTGATTTCAAAAGAAGAATGTTTTCTGAAGTGCATTTTATTTTCGTGTTACCGAGGTATAAACAACATATTTGTTTTTTTTTACCGTCTGCCTTTCTGCTTGTCCGAGGCAATTTTAGAAACGGCTGAACGAATTTTAATCGGATCTACACTGACAAAACATTAAATTAAACTTTATATTAATATTATACAATGAAAAATTCATCGTTATTTTCATTCTATACTACCTTCGGTTGAGTCCCAGTGGAATAATTATTTATTTTTTTACGTTGATAAAAATAAATAAAATTAAAAACTTTATTCATTATTAAATTTAACACCTGCTAGTGAAAATCCAAATAAAATTAGTCTAGCCGTTTCAGAGTGTTGTCGGAACAAACAGATTTACAAATGAATAAAAAAAATATTCTCTTATATGCTACAAAAATTAAAAAACATATACACATATTATCTGATATGCACCTTGTACATGTCGTGTTATTTCAATATGAAAATGCACTCCAATTATATTTATTTCAATAGATTACATAATTAATCTAATAAAAATATTAGCGACAAACTTTGTAATATACTGACTTACCCATAGATTGATAGTTTAAAGTGAATAACATCTGGTCTGTCTAAAGCAACTGAAAGAATGAAAATTTCCGTACGTAACAGGTTCAAATTCTACTTTTGTTTAAATTTCATTCAAAATATATCCCCTAATTTGAATTTGAGTAATATCTCAACATTTCTTTAATGTTTACAACATTATTGTACAAACTAAATATGTGTATTCGACTTTAGTTATCTACTATTGATTGGTAATATCCTGGATGGGAAGTCTTTGTCGTCATAAAATGCTATGTCATTGAAATTGAAAGCAGGTTTGAAATTT